GAATAAAAATTTCGAGTCAAATACAGGGCAATGACATTTACCAGTAAAAGTTAGAGGAAGATTTTCTTCAGGTTCTATGACATTGGTAGAAGTATCCTGCATTGGTATACCTTCTTGGGAATCTAAAATAGGAGGTTGATCTTGAATCAACTCAGCAGTAACTTCTATCAAAGAAGCAGGAATTACTGGTGAAAGATTTGGGGCTGATATGATAAGAGCCTTGCTAGGAGAAGGAACAGGGGAAGCAACACTAGATGGATCAGTCTTGGGAGTATCTGGATTAATCAAAAGATATACAGGTTAGTGCTAATATGCACATTGCTAGTCTCCATAAATAGAGCAAGAGAAGTACCTTTTGGTGGGCGCGGTTTCATCATAGCTCGAAGCGTGAGCTCTGAAGATTGATCAGATGTTGGAGGATTCTCTGGAGATTCTGAGGAACGAATAGTTACTTTTCTAAAGCCGCGTTTTGCTGGTGCTTTCTTTGGGACAATAGAGTCTGAAGTCTTTCTTTTCTTGTTCACTGCGAGAGTATGATGTTAAATGGGAGGCTGAAAATCAAGCAAAACATATATTGAAAATCAGAATCAAATTACCTTCGGAAGGTTCTATTGACTTGGTTGGAGACATATTCACAGCCTCAATTGCTTTTGGTGCTATAGGAGGAACAACATCTCTTATTTTTGAAAGAATCAGGTCCAGAGGATCTGAAAACACAGTCTTTTGATAATCTTTCCACCAAAGGTCAAAATCGGCCGAAGAATAATCAGAGTAGCCAGTGAATTCGATGACACGGGACAATCGGTAGATACTCCGTATCAACGTGGTCAGCTCATTAAAAGGCTGATCATCCTTCAGCTTGCAAGTTAATTTATCAAAAGAAGCAACAGAGAAAGTGTAAAGAGCAGGAACAGGAACTCCTTGAATTAACCCAAGTTGCCTGGCACAGTATTGGGGAGAATAGATTTCAAAGCCAGCAGCAAACCTGCCTTTTGTCGAAAATCTCACAGGGAGATCAACAGAAGTCAAGACAGATTGCCAAAAGTCACTTTTGTTCTTCTGAAAGGCAGGAAGGTAAGATTTGAATTGAGGGGTAAAGAAAGGAGAGAAAGAATGTGGATTCTCCTTAATGGAATAAATTTGAGAAATAAAGTACCGAAAACAAGAGGATGGTGTTTTAGGAACAGAGACCAGTTTCCTGCTCAAAGTTTGGCAGACTAGTTGGTCAGGAATAGAAACCGAGAGAGGCTGGATAACTTGATCCTTGGAAAACCAAGCAGGGAAATAGAAGATTGCCCATGCTTGAAGAAGCCAAAGGGGACCACCAAAAACGCCACTAACTTCATCTGAAGCAGTGGAGGAAGAAGCATGGGCTAAACCCCGATAGAGTAAGGCCAACATTGTCTTGCCTAAAGAAAGCCGGGTCCCTGAAGCTAAAGCAGAAGCAACAGCAACAAAATCGTTCGAGACCCTAACTATAGGGTGGCAGAAAAGGAATTTAAAGAGCCAGTATAAAAGAAAAGCAGTGTGCTCTTCGTCGGTAATTGCATTTTCCTTTTTAAAGTAGTTTTTCATGAATGTCCCGTAGGCTATTTCAGAATCAGATAATTTGTCGAGCGGCGAATGAGAGTCTAGAGACAGGGTAGATGGGTCTGTACCCAAAAGAGAGAGCCCAGTAAGGCAATGTATATCAAGCAAAGTTATCGATATAGGAGAAAAAGGGAAAAAGAAGCAGTTGGTCGAAGATGACCAAAAACAGGACAATGCGCCAATTAGTTCCCGATTCACATGGTAGTCGAAACAACTAAGACGCAAAGCATCGTGGATGGAAAGGGTATTCCAAAGAGAACCCTTAGAAGGAAGAAGACGAAGGTACCATTGATAGAACTCAGAATCAAAATCAGATAAAGCCCTAAGGCGAGAAGGACGAGAATACCACTGGTACGCCAAAATAGATGACTCATGGATGGGAAGTACCTCAATCTGATGACGAGGGAAGCGGTTTGACAGGCATTGTGGAACGAAAAAGTGATTGTGAGCAGCAGGGCCGAGGATATAAGAATCTTCAAAATCATTCTGTACAGAGAACAGATGAGATCCTTCTTTGAAATTATCATAATCCCGGAATAGATAATATCGGTCGAGGGCATCTGATGCAGAAAAGGAGAAAGTTTGGTCCTTGGAAGCTTTGGAAGCCATGGATTTTAGTAGAGTGTCGGAAAAGATTGAAGAGATTCAAAAAGGTGAAGATGAAGAAGAACGAAAAAGGAATAATTTTTATAGAAAGTATTTTGGAGACGAAAGGGTAGGCGCGCGAAGCAAGGTGACGAAGCGACGTCAAGAATAGGTACTATTTCTTTGACATTTAAAAGAATTAAAAGTTCTTTTAATTCTTTTAAAAGGGGGCATTTGTTTACACCAAAATCGGCATGAATGTCAAGTCGGTTTAATGTCAAAATCTGACGGACAATGGAGCTCAGTTGTCTGCCGAAGTACGTTTGGATAAAATTCGGGAATGTAGTAAGCGTGAATGGCACCATGTCCCGAATTCTATGATTGGTGAGAATCGGTAATTTTACCGAAACATGAAAAGTTTACATTTCGGAAAATGTTGAAGCTATCGAAAATCGGCAAGATTACAACCCAGCCAGGTGAATCGTGACAACAGGAAGTTATGAGCAAAAAGCGGAGATAGTGAGCACGAGCAGATCGTAGGAGATTATTTATCCAAATTGAAAGTCATCCCAGCGGTTGAGATCAATTTTGGTGGACAATGAAATTAGAAAATGTGGGTAGATAAGGCAGTTATTGAAAGCGCCAAGATTCAAAGTTCGAAAACAAAGAAGTAACCGACAAGCAGTTACAGGATAAGAGGAGATATAAATACTCAGAAGAAAGAAGAAAAGAAGCATCGACAACAATGCAAAAACACTCAAGCTTATATGCACTTTAGTTTCCTCTGCATTTTTACTTCCTGCGTTTACAGCTTCCTGTAGCTTTAGTTAACCTTCAAGTCCTTTACAACTTTCATAGGAGTATTGTAACATAGTTAGAAACTTTGTTGATCTCAGATCCATTTTCAATCCACTCAATTTCTACCCGCTTCCATATAACCTTGCACTACACTGTTTTTCGCCACGATTTTCCTAGAAATCAAGCCACAGAACGTACTTTAATAAAAATCGAAAATCAAAGTTTCGGTGAAGGATATTCCTCGTTGTAAAGCGAGCGAATAGGTGTATGGAAATATTCGTCATTAAACTGACTAGATTTAGTCAAATCAATATTTAAGAATACGTGAGACTCACGCGGAATTTTACCGGAAAAATGCAAATGTCCAAACAGTTCATGTCTTCAGTCTACCACTTCATTCACAAACAAAATTTTATCCCATTGCCATATTTAGTGATCGTGGATGCTCTATGTCCTACATGGAACTCTCTTGATTGTCTCTATATATCGGGAAAACTACCAAAAAAGTCCTAAACCTATTGTAATTATGCCAATTCAGTCCTAAACTTTTTTTTGCCAATTCAATCCTAAACCTTTTGCAATTGTACCAATTCAGTTCATCCAACTTCTGGTTGGCCAATGCTGACGTGGCAATATTTTAATATATTTTTTATTTTTTTCGAATTTTTATTTTATTTTTTTCCTTTCGCTTTTTTTTTTCTTTTTCCTTCTTTCCCCTGGCCGATCTGGCAAGGGGGAGGCTCGCCGGCCACTGGGGAGGCTCGTCCTTGTCGGCTCTGGCGAGGGCGAGCCTCGCCCAGCTCTGGAGAGGGCTGGCGAGGGCGGAGCTCACCATGGCTGGGCGAGGTCGAGCTTCGCCATGGCTGTGGACAAGGTCGAGCTCACCTAGCCATGGCGAGCCCCACCCTCGCCTTGCCCAGCGACGGTGAGGCTCGCCCTCGCCAGTGCGGCGAGGGCGAGCCTCCCCAGTGGCCGGCGAGACCTCACCGGCCCTAGCCCCTAGCCGGTTCGGCCACCGGACCGGGGGAAGAAGGAAAGGCAAAAAAAAAATAGAGAAAGGAAAAAAATATATAAAAAAAAATTCGACAAGGGCAAGCCTTGTCGTCGCACAACTATGGCGAGGTTGGGCAAGGTCGAGCTCGCCCAGCGGCAGCGAGGCTCGCCTCGCCGTCGCATAGCCATGGCGAGGCTCGAGCTCGCCCAGATCTGGCGAGGTCGAGCTCGCCCAGCCATGGCGAGGTCGAGCTCGCCCAGCCATGGCGAGCTCCGCCCTCGCCGGAGCTAGGCGAGGCTCACCTTCACCAGTCCCTAGTGGTCGGCGAGGTCACCTCGCTGGCGAGCCTCCCCCTAGCCGAACCGGCCAAGGGTAAGAAGGAAAGAAAAAAAAAAGAGAAAGGAAAAAAAATATTAAAATATTGCCACGTCAACCCGCCTACTCTAGCCAGTGTCCACGATAGCGCCGGCCGGCAAAAAGTAGCTGGATGGACTAAATTGGCACAATTGCCAAAGGTTTAGGACTGAATTAGCAAAAAAAAAAAGGTTTAGGACTGAATTGGCACAATTGCAATAGGTTTATGATTTTTTTGGTAATTTTCTCCCATATATCTTTACCATCTATGCATTTCCATTTACTAGTTTGAGATTTTTTATGATAAAAAAAATCAGTTTGTGGTAAATATGACACATGTGTGCCAGTTTTAGAGTTTTTGTAACACAAAAATTAATTTGGGGTAAATATAACATGAGTATACCAATTTGGGATTTTTTTATGGTATTAACCAAAGAATTTTTATTTTTATTTTAGACACCAATGATATAAAAGAATCTTTACAGAGTAAAGTTCTGACGATGTAAATATGCATCTTTTGAGTTTGACAAGTGAATTCATTTCGTGAATAGATGAATATTTGACACAAACGATATATCATAAATGATTTTTTTTTGGCTAGCCAAGTAATGTACAATTTGGTGCCTCGATATTGACACGTTAGACTTTTGGCAATTGCATTGTTTGATGAATGTGAAAGAATATAATGCGACGATTGAGTTCTACTGGGCGCCATTGCTAGTTGAGTCAAACGGCGATGATCCTAAGAACCACTCGATTTATCATCGGATCGTCCGAGTTAAAGCCATCGAAAATCATGCCAAGCATTGGCACGATGCAGATTTCCTCATTTTCAACACCTACCTCTGGTGGAGGCTACCCGAAATGGAACTTCTGTGAGTATATGCTATAAGAAATTATGTTGAACGAGTGTCTCCAAGCATTTATTATGCATATACTCCGGGAGAAAAGTCTCAATTCCCAAAAAGCTGATTATAAATATCATAAGAAAAGCCATCCTTATCATGAAAACTACAGCATATTCATATTTGATTGCTCAACAAGTGTCCTAGAATACTTTTTAACTTAATTTTGTCACAAGAAGAAATTAACTTTTACCTCTTAAATCTTGTGAAAATAATGTATCTTTTCTAATATAATAGGGGTTTTCCCTGTTGCATATTGATCCCTCTAATGTGGACACAAGTGTCTTTTCTAAGTTAAAGGATTGGTAATTTAAAATATCCGTTTCTCCTTCTTGGTCAGTAAATAGCTTATACCTTTTTTTTTTTACCCGAGTTGGTAAACGTATTGTTTCAAATCGTTTTTCCCACTGTAGATTAAATGAAAATGGAAATGTCAAACTTAAAACATAAATTGTATGATTTAATTTAAGAATTTGATTCCTCATTCTATGATTAAATTTGACTTCTTCAATTCACCAAGATACAAGCCAACACATTTAACTTGGAGAGAACTTTTGAACAAGAATGAAGTGGTGGATTTTTTTTCTTCATAAATGTTGACAAACTTGTCCTGATGTTTAGACTAGGGTTTGAGGGGTGGTTATAGGACTTTAGACAACGAATTGGCTATCTCCTATGGGAATAAAGAGAAGATGTGTACTCTTCATAAATTAAGATAGACATCCTTTAAATTTAGGGGATGAAGAGGACACAATCAATTTGTTGAATCTTCAGCAGCTGAGATATGTCCTCATTTTTTTTTTCTTTTCTTCTTCTTTTTCCTATTTCTCTCTGTCTCCTTCTTTTTCTTCTCCCTCCTCCACCCGGACCGCACCGCCGTGACACGCCCCCACCATCATTAACGTCGCTATGCATCATCACATGGCCTTTCTAGTGCCACGCTGCAGCCGCCGCCTTTGTTGGGTTGAGAGAGAGAGAGAGAGAGAGAGAGAGAGAGAGAGAGAGATATGGTGGTTGGTCCTCTTAGTTTTGCAATCGAGCACCTTTGTGGGTACGATGGGCAGTCCTGACAGAGGCCGGTCGTTGTTGGTTTAGGGTTTTTGTTGGTGACTGATTTCCTCAAAATATTGAGGCCATCTTGATAAATTCAAGGTACTCTTGGGTGATGTGGGTGAATCTAGGCCTTCAACTAAATTGTTGATGCGTTGATCAATTCAACACGATTAAATTTAAGACGTGAATTTATTCCCTAAATTCATAGAAACGTAATTTCCCGGACTGAGACTTTTTTAAGTGAAGTATGTAATACAGTAAGAGAGCTGGATGCTTACAAATGAAGCCAAATATCAATTGAAGTTTCTTTAAGAAACGAGGGTAGGTTATGCATAAGAAACATAATAAGGTCAATGCTAACCTCACGTTAAGACTAATGCTTTTCAGATGGAAGTTAATCTTTTCTACTTCGACTTATTTGCCTTTGAATGAAGCCGTTCTTTTAATTATCTCGACCGGGTGGGGATCGTTTGGAAGTCCCAATGCAATGCACAAAGTGGTGAAAATGCCTCTTGCATATGAGATGGCTCTCAATACCTGGTCAGATTGGTTGGAGACGCATGTCAATAGATCAAAGACCCTATTATTCTTCGTTAGCATGTCCCCGTCTCACGAAAAGTAAGTTTTCACCACATTCCTCTCTGTCTAAAGCTAATTGTAGTTACAACTTGTAGAAATGAGTTGTGTGATGCATTTTCCCTGGAAGTAAGGCAATACTTGGCTCATGCATATTCCTTAATTTCTCCACACCTTTCTTGTCTTAAAAGCACATTGTTAGGATCATTTAAGCCTCCATTTCTTTTTTCCAAATGCTCTTCAATCTACTTGCTATTGAATTAACGAAGTCTACGGAGAGGTTCCTAGGTCGATTGACTAACATATTTATGCCATGCATTTGCATATTGTTTCTAGAAGTTTTATAGTTTTCCTTACGTATAAACAATCCAACTATAACGGTTTACAAAACCAAGTATACAAAATCATGCACTAGGCCTTAAATGGTCATTTAAACAAGCCCCACACCTGTGTTTTAAACCGAGTTTCTGAGCAAATAACTTAATTCGAGCCCGTTATTTGGCATGTCAAATTTCACAAGTTCCTTAAATATATGGCATTGCTCTTTCTGATATGGCAGCGCAAGGGACTGGGGTGGGATTCCTGGCGGAAGCTGTTACGGTGAAACCGAACCAATTATGCGAGAAGGGTATTGGGGAACCGGATCAGTTCTTGCGATGATGCGTGTGGTAGAAAGAGTGATCAAGAAACTCGAAACACGAGGTGTCACGATTCACCTCTTCAATATTACGCAGCTCTCAGAGTATCGCAAGGAAGCACAGCCCACCATCCATAGAAAATATTGGCATCCCCTAACTAAAGAGCAGCTTGCAAATCCGATTAGCTATGCGGATTGCTTCCACTGGTGCCTCCCTGGACTACCAGATGTGTGGAACGAACTTCTCTACACTTATATTTTCCATTATTTAGACACCTATGTTTAGATATTGAGTTGGAGGTGCAAAGAGGCAATTGTAAAATACTAGTTGTGCGATTGGGTATACTTTTTTCCTTTTGATCTATATATATAGACACACACATAGTGATAGATCCAGGACAATTCTGTCGGTCCAAAATTGGAGGGAACGAGGAAAACGATGTCAGATTTCAACTCTATTTGTTTCATGAATTATGAATAATTTGAAAAAAAAGATTCCTGAAATTAGTCGTTTATATTGCATGAAATAATTAGTTATTGAAATTTCATTATCAACAATAATTTATATGGATCCACACATAATATTTCTTCATTGAAGAAGTATTTAGTGGGGAAATTGTCCAAAAAGTCATAAACTCATTGTACTGCGGCCAATTCAATCCTAAACTTTTCAATTTGGCTAATTTAGTCCTAAAACATTTGACGATTTGTCAATGTAGTCTTTCTAGCCAATTTTGGCTAGAAATTGCTGACATGGTCACTGACCATCCTACTTGGCATGGCCGACGAAGGATGGTCGACGCTAACGTGGACGATTTTTGCAATGTTTTAAAATTTTCCAACTCTTTTTTATTCTTCTTACTTTTTCTTTTTTTCTTATCTAGCTCTTCTTCTTTTTTCCACTACATACGAACCCTGCCGCCCCTTTCCAGGAGATGAACAACGGAAAAAATATAAAAGGAAAAGGAAAATAAAAAATTATTAAAAAATTCAAAAATTTAAAAAAAAATTCCAAAAATCATGTAGGATAACTGGTGCCACATCAACATTTTTTTGTCAATCTTGACCGAAATGATTATATTAGCAAATCGTCAATATATAACTAAATTGGCCAAATTGAAAAGTTTAGGACTGAATTAATCACCGTATAATAAGTTTAGAGCTTTTTGGACAAATATCCCAGCATTTGGTAATTAGTACCTTGGTTAGAAAAGTAATAAGAACATAAAAGCAAAAGGAGGGTAGACCATGTTGGGAACAGGCTCTTGCTAGTGTAACAAAGTTCGTAGGCTTGAGAGGCAAAAGCGATGTGCATATAGAGGCTCAAGGCACACCAAAAGATATGCTTAGACTAAGGCCTAGTTTGGTTTAGCTTTTCAAAAGGGTTTCCGGCCTCCAAAGCCCCTTAGGAAAATGCTGAGACATATGACCTGATTTTTCAATGGGCTTTCAGCCAAAAGCCAGCATTTGCCAAATGCAGAAACTAATTTTTCTCTTCCCAAACTACCCTCACTAATCTTCCCCTCGTTGTTACTATTCATCTCCTTTGTGCGAGGGCGGCCAGCCAGAGCCGACGAGATTAGATTAGAATAGCGAAGGGCCGGCGAGATCGCCCTACCCCGGCGACGACTACCTGAGGTCGCACGACCACCCAAGCAACGATCGCCTGGGTCACACGACCTCAGGCAAGGGATGCTTGGGTCGCGCCACCCGGCGACGGCTGGCTGGGTCGCGCGACCTCAAGCGGTTGTCATGGCTTGGGTCACGGACCCAAGCCGCGATGTTGCCTTGGTCGCGTGACTCTAGGCGATGGCCACCTGGGTCCGCGACCTCAGGCGACGGTTGTCAGCGCCATATCTAGCTCACCGACGGCCGTAGTCCTTCACCGGAGCCAGCGAAGGGTTTGCTTTTTTTTTTTTTTAATTTCATCCAAAGTCCTTTGTAAAATAAAATTTACCAAACACTACTTGAGCCAAAATAGCTTCACAAAGTGTTTTTTGCCAAACGCAAATTGCATTTCCCCAAAGATTTTAAGTTAAAGGTATTTGCATTCCCTCAAGGCACATTTGCAAAACCGAACCAACCAGGGCATACTTTTTTTTTTCTTACCTTCTGCCAAACCAAGCTTATATGCAACACCACTTGTGCACACCAAACGACGTGGGACTAAACCCCTGCCCAGACACCTTGCTTCTATAAATGATAAACTAGTCACAGACTGAGATTTGTCTGTGAGAATCTCACAGGCTCGAGGAATTCATTGTTCTGCGAGATTGTATTAAGTTTCAAGTAAGTAAAAGTTGCTATTCGATAATAATGGGCACATCATCTGAGTTTATAGTCTAGCAGCTTGTTGAAGTTCACATGTTCTTGATGTGATTAGACCCTCTTTGTACATTATATTGCTTAGCCCGTCGTTTTTCTCTTTCCAAATCGAAAGGATTGGTCGCATAAAATCTCGGTATATATATCGTTCTTCATTGTTCTCATTTGATCACTTGTCTTTTGTTATATGTTCTAATTGGTGTGGAGTGCATTTCTTCACAGATATTTTGGCTGAAATCATTGTATGATGACTTCCATCTGTATCTCGTTTCTTTATAGTCGTTTGAACAACCCTTTTGATTCATGATTACAACAGCTCATCTCATCTAGGGGACGAATCACGCAATATCAAGTTGTGACCAACATCAGAACCCGCAACTTATAGTCATGTTACTGAAGTTCCATTCTACAAGAAAAATATGCTGCGAAATTCAAATCGGCATCAGTATAAATATTACAAACAATATAGAACTGTAAAGAAACGAAATTGTAATAACAAAGTTGGAATCGATACAAATGAATACCGAGGCCTGTATTTGACACAGTTTCCTTAAAACAGATTCGTTCCCTCCAGTACGCGACCGAGGTTTCGTGAACGTCTGTCTCCCAGGATACAACGGTTGACAGCGAAGAAGAGAGCATGGCACTTCCAAGCTTGCGGCGAACTTGAACAAACTCGAAATGAACACTACCGAAAAACAGTGCAAATACAGAGAGAGCGTAAAACCAGAGGAAGAATGATTTCGATAAAAAGGAACAGAGGGGAGAGCAATTCGGGAATAATAACGGCCGATTAAATCTGTCGTTACAAAATCAATACGAATAACGGACGATTAAATCTGCCGTTATAAAATCAATACGAATAACGGACGATTAAATCTGCCGTTATAAAATCAATACGAATAACGGACGATTAAATCTGCCGTTATAAGATCAATACGAATAACGGCCGATTAATTCTACCGTTATAAGATCAATACGTATGGGAATAACGGCTGATTAAATCTGTCGCACGTTATGAAATTCGTAACTGTTTGAGTTGAAAGGAAAAATAAATCAGAAGGCAAAATTGGGCTCGTCGCGAGGCCCACTTTTCGGTCCTGCAATCGTGTACGCGGGATGTGCGCTCGCGCCCAAGTTTCAGCTTGTCGGGCGTCGGATTTGCACCCCCCCTGCGCCTGCGCGCGAGGCAGAGAGTTTGTGCTATGATAGTTACCACTTCAAATAAGTGTAACTGTATATAAAGCACTCCATAGCCTTCTTTCTTTTCCGATGTGGGACTAGTGTTTTTCCACATCCCACTTCCAACTCAAGGGTGTTCTTTGAGCATCAATTTCTCATTCATTCACCCATTAATTTATCCCATATTTCCAACAATCCACCACATGAATGAAAATTGTTTTAGTTTTGACTCTGTGATAGTGTTCAACAATTGAAACCTGCATAGGATAGGTAGGTATTACCCTTTGAACCTTCTCTTGTGAAAGTATATTTACTTTACTAGTTGTCCAGTAAACATGATGTCCTTGAACTGTCCAGCTTTCTTATGTAAATGAACCATACACTTCACACAGGAATCATCTAAATGTTTGTTCAGTTCTCATAGTTATGTTCGTTTTGGCCATGAACATCAACCTGGTTCTGCAAGAGTTTCTAAAGAATTTAGCCCTAATAATTCTCCTTTGAAGCGGCCCCACTTCTCTCTTACATAGGTGATTACTTAATTTTGAGTAATTTGTTTACTCCACTTAAGAATCATTAAAGCAAAAATGCTATCCTTTCCTTTACAATATCACTGTTATTTTATATAGGAATGATTTTAGGGATAACCCCCACAGTGACATCACTAAGTTTATATAATTAGGTTGTCCCTTTGAACCTAGATCATGGGATCTCCAGTCAACTAGGTTGGATTTCCTTTATATCAACTTATTCTTTCATGGGCTTCAGTCCCATTCCTCTTGTCGATTTCTCAACTAACTCTCTGTTTAACCATTTGGTTAGCGGATCCGCAATATTATCCCTTGACTTTACATAGTCAATTGAGATAATTCCTGTTGAGAGTAGTTGTCTAATGGTATTATGTCCACGACGTATGTGTCTAGACTTTCCATTATACATATTACTCTGTGCTCTTCCGATCGCAGATTGACTATCACAATGTATACTTATTGGTGGCACAGGTTTTTGCCATTTTAGAATATCCTCTAAGAAATGGCGTAGCCATTCAGCCTCTTCACCACTTTTATCTAATGCTATAAATTCAGATTCTATTGTGGATCTGGCTATAATAGTTTGTTTACAGAATTTCCAAGATACGGCTGCTCCTGCTAGTGTGAATACATATCCACTAGTAGATTTTGAGTCTTTTATATCAGATATCCAGTTCGCATCACTATATCCTTCCAGAACAGCTGGGTATCTGGTATAATGCAGGCCATAATTCCGAGTATATCGTAAGTACCTGAATACTCTCACTATTGCTTTCCAATGGTCAGCACTCGGATTGCTTGTGTATCTACTTAATTTACCAACCGTATAGGCACCGTCTGGTCTAGTACAACTCATTAAGTACATTAGACTTCCAACAACTCTAGAGTACTCTACTTGAGAAATACCCTCTCCTCTATTCTTGGAAAGATGAAGACTATTGTCTAATGGTGTTCTAGCAATACCAGAATCATTCATGTTGAATTTTTCAAGAATCTTGTCCACATAGTGTGACTGGTTTAAAATAAGACCTTCTGATATTCTTGTGATTTTAATTCCTAAAATCATATCAGTAGGTCCCATATCTTTCATGTCAAATCTTGAATTCAACATATACTTGGTAGATTTGATCATTTTATCATCACTACCAACAATTAATATGTCATCTACGTAAAGACACAAAATGACATAGCCATTTGTTGTCTCTTTAATGTAGACACATTTATCACATTCATTGATCTTAAAACCATTGGTAATCATTGCATTATCAAACTTTTCATGCCACTGCTTTGGTGCTTGTTTTAGGCCATACAATGATTTCACCAATTTACAGACTTTTCTTTCTTGTCTTGGAACTATAAAACCCTTAGGTTGTTCCATGTAGATTTCTTCATCCAAA